GGGTTTCCTTGGCCGGACCTCTTAGGGTTTAGGGTTTAGGGTTTAGGGTTTAGGGTTTAGGGTTTAGGGTTTCGGGTTTCGGGTTTAGGGGTTTAGGGTTTAGGGGTTTAGGGTTTAGGGCTTTGTGTCTAAACTCATTCACTCACTCACTCACTCAATCAATCAATCAATCAATCAATCAATCTCTCATTTGCCCTGTCATTATAATGGCCGTGATCATTCCTCACCTAAACCCTAAACCCTAAACCCCAGCTGATCTTTGCTGCATCATTAGCATCGTCTCGCAGGACATCCTCGAAGTTCGGTGTTTCAACTCCTTGACGTATCCTGGTTTAGGGTTTAGGGTTTAGGGTCACGAGGGGCCTTGAGTAGGAATCGGTATTAAAAGCTGGTTTTTTTTGTCGAGGTTAATATAGCGGCCTAAGTAAGTCGTACTAGTACTTGTGGAGCCTCAAACAGACCTGGAAGCTTGAAAACACTTGCAGGTGCTGCTCGCAACTATCATAAGTAACCTAGCTCGTTCTGAAGGGCCCTTGTAAAGCTGGCATGGGGCCTCGCAATGATGGTAGAAGGAGCTAAGTTAGCTTCAGCAGTTTAAAGTAAACCCGAACCCCAGCCCCCAAACCCTAAACCCTAAAACCTAAGCCCTAAACCCTTATGACAGGAAGTGGATGAAATCGCCGATCGATTCACCCTCGGCGCTGGGGACACGCTGAGCCTTGGGGCCGAGCTGTGTCAAACCGAAGCTTCCGGCGGAGGTTTCGGGGTGTAGGCTTAGGGTTCAGAGGTTTGCAGTTTAGGGTTTACGGTGGAGTGTTTAGGGGTTTAGGGTTTACGGCCTCACTCTACACCCTGAACTTCGCGGATGTAGGGTTTCGGGCTTAGGGAGCTTGAGTAGACAGAAAATCTTCAATCTTAGGCTAAAGGGGGGTCGCTGAGCCATGCGCCCTAAAACCTTTAGCCCGGGACGGTTTAGTGTGCGGTTTCGGGTTTAGGGGTTCAGGGTTTGGGGTTTAGGGTTTAGGGTTTAGGGACGGTTTAGTGTTCGGTTTCGGGTTAGGGTTCAGGGTTGAGGGTCCCGAAGATGCTCTAATCTAAGTACTTTAGGAGGGACCCCTAACAGGGATCCTTAATCCCATTACCTTAAA